AGGATTAAGCGCATGAGAGATTCAGACAGTGTTTGAGTTTCTCTTGTTCTCTTTAATAACAGTTTAAGCCTTTTAAAGTGATAATTAGCTTCTAGTTTTAGCCACAGGAAATTGTGGCGCTCTGTAATTGGGAAGTGAGCGACTCCTGCCAGCCTGTGCCTCTCAGTAAAGGGTGGAGTGACACGTTTTACCATGCTCTGAGCTACACAATATATCTGTAGTATCAGATTTGTCAGGAGATCAGTCAGGCAGATGAAAAATATTTACTGAATGCCTGTCAAAAAAGTGTTGCTACATTTTTTCTGCTTTCACCTTGGCATCTTGTAATATAACTTAAAACAATCAAATACAGGCGGAGCAAACCATCACAAACAAAGGGGTAAGGGGGAAATCAGCAAATATACACAACTGAACATATCCAGGGTGTCCATGGAGTCTTAAAAGGTCTTAAATATCAAAAGCTAAATTTTAGATCTTAAAAAGTCTTCACTTAAATATAGTGTTGTAGGTCTTAAAACATTTTAAACAGCTCTTAATATTTCTTTGTCCATGTAAACTTTCCCAATCTGGCCAATGCCTAACAATACACTACCTGGTGCTGAGGTAGGGAGGGAGGTGTCGCGGACACCGCACTCTCTATTCTGCCGCCCTATGCGCGGATATAACTGAGGACACGCGGGTGTCGCGGACCTCTATTCTGCTGCCCTATACGTGGATATAACTGAAGACACGCGGGTGCTGATGGAGGTGTCGCTGATGCCGCCCTCTCTATTCTGTCGTCTATGCGCGAATATATCTGAGGACGCGGGTGGGGAGGGAGATGTCGCGGACATAACTGAGGATGCGGGTGGTAAGGGAGGTATCACGGACGCCGCCCTCTCTATACTGCCGCCTAGGTCGCCTCAATGGACACGCCTGCCCTGATCATTTGGTATCAGAAGTGGCTTATATGAAAGGCAAAGGCCTCTAGATTACGCTTATTATACCACAATAAAATATGATCATGCCTTGATTTTTAATGATTTAATTAGGACAGTAAGGTCTGACTACTTTGACAAAAGTCTTGTCACTGAACAGATATAATGTCCAGTATAGAATATAAAGTCCTGCTGCAGTGGAGACAGAATGAATATCGTGTCTGACTCCATCATGAGCTTGGAGGACTGCATCCATACATCTCTGACATGACTGAAATCACTGATTAATAAAGTCATCTGGAATGGCAAAGAAAGCGTTCCTGCAGGACTCCCAGAGTTCATCAAGATCCTTTGGATTCATCTTCAATGCCTCCTCCTTCATCTTACCCCAGACATGCTCAATAATGTTCATGTCTTGTGACTGGGCTGGCCAATCCTGAAGCACCTTTACCTTCTTTGCTTTCAGGAACTTTGATGTTGAAGTATGAGAAGGAGTGACATCCTGCCATCTTGTTATGTATATTTATTATGTATATATAAATACATGCATGCATATATTTGAGAAAATTTATATTTAGATATATGATTTATATATACAGTTGAATTCAGAATTATTAGCCCGCCTTTCAATTGTTTTTTCTTTTTTTAAATATTTCCCAAATGATATTTAACAGAGCAGGGAAATTTTCACAGTACGTCTGATAATATCTTTTTCTCCTGGAGAAAGTCCTATTTGTTTTATTTCGGCTAGAATAAAAGCAGTTTTAAATTTTTTAAACACAATTTTCAAGTCAATATTTTCAGCCCCTTTAAGCAATATTTTTTTCCCGATAGTCTACAGAACAAACCATAGTTTTACAGTAACTTGCCTAATTACACTAATCTGCCCAGTTAATCTAATTAACCTAGTTAAGCCTTTAAATGCCACTTTAAGCTGTATAGAAGTGTCTTGAAAAATATCTAGTCAAATATTATTTACTGTCATCATGGCAAAAATAAAATAAATCAGTTATTGGAAATGAGTTATTAAAACTATTATGTTTAAAACTGTGTTGAAAAAATCTGCTCTCTGTTAAACAGAAATTAAAGTACAAAAATAAACAGGGGGGTAATAATTAATTCTGACCTCAACTGTACAGTATATGTTACCTATTATATTATTTTAGTATTTTATGATACATTTTAGGATTAATGTAGGTTTGTAGAAGGAAAAATCCAAAATGTCTTCATTGAACATAATTTCTTTTCCGTAATATCCTAAAGATTTTGGCATGAAATAAAATGAATAATTTTGACTCTTGCAATGTATTATTGGCTATCATTGCCACAAATATAATAATACAACATAAGATTTGTTTGGGGGTCCAGTTTCATAAATAATGCAGAAGAAATAAATATTGCAATTTCCATTCGTTCATTCAAAAAAGTATTTCTTTTATTTTAATTTGTTTATTTAATTTTTCATTTATCTATTAGGGATTATGGACAGCAAGAGAACATAATTAGCCACAAACTTCCTCTTTATTCCCTTGGCAGGAGAATGAAAACACAAAATAACAAGAACATCAACACACTGTTATAAATAAATGACATAAAAACTGTAGAACTCTATGCCTAAACTCAATGGACACACATCTGATGCATTGTTAAACAGTATTTCCAATGCATCTTGAACTGTATTCTGAATTATCCCAGTAATTAATAGAAAACGTGCAGTAAATACAACAGCAATACACTATCGTGCAGCACTAATCTGTGTGAATAAGCCTATTATTCACATTTACTCGTCTTTTTTTAATCTTATTTCTTTGAGCAGCAAGTATCGGATGTTTGCTCAAAAAAAAAAAAAAAAAAACTCTGCATTTCTTTGTTCAGCCACTGTAGTAAGTCCTTGAAGAGTAAAAGAAGTTAGCAAATATCATACATCCATTTTCTTCTCCTTTCATCGACTGTTTCTGACTTCCTACCGGTTGGGTGTAACGTTTCTGCACTCCTTTGTGTCTTCTTCCCCGGAGGGACAAAAGCTTCTTTGGAAAACGTGTTTGGGTGGCTCACAAAAGCTGGATTGTGTGGCTTTCTCTTTCAAATGTCACTGACAGCCCCAAATTACACCTTTTCATCTGCCTTCCTTCCCAGAATGCCATAGACAGTAGTTCGAACATTCCTGTTTGACTGTGTAACATAAACTGGATCTTCCGTGTGCTGGGTTTCATGTGGTATTTTCGTTTTTTACTTTTGGCGTGGGATTGAGTTTTCCAGAGAGGATATTTGTTCTCAGATAGATTAAGGCGCAGGTCCGCCCAGGTGAAGGCCTGATTGTTTATCCTAGACTTGTGTAAAGATTAAAGGTCAAGCTGGTGCACAAACTGTGCTGTACGGTGCACTTGAATGAAGATTTTTCTTGTGTGTGTGTGTGTGTGCAACAAAGATGGAGTAAAACAATACAACGGAAAATTGAAAATTAAACTGCAATTGGATGTTTTTTTTCCCCCAGAGTGATAATACAACGGGTAAATAAGTATTGTACACGTCACCATTTTTCTTAGAAACCATATTTCTAAAGGTGCCGTTGACTTGAAATTTTCACCGGATGTTGGTAACAATCAAAGAAATCAATATATACAAAGGAAACAATATTAATTAGTTTACAAATGAAGTTCCGTGTAAAAAAATTAAATGGAGCAGGGAAAAAGTATTGAACACATGAAGAAAGGAAGGTGTAGAAAGACGGTGAAAGCCCAGACAGCAGCTGAGATCTCCCAGTAGTTCTTCAGCAACCCCCTGCCCTTCGACATTGTAAATTAATATTCGCAGCTTCAGTCCAACATCTACATTAGCAGGTGATGAAGATGAAACCGGGACATTTTAGCAAGACAATGATCCAAAACACAGCCAATGAAGCTCTCAGATGCTTTCAGAGAAAGAAAACCAAGCTATGGAATGGCCCAGCCAATCACCTGACCCGAATCTAATAGAGAATACAAAGTAAAGCTCAGATTTGATAGACGAGACCCACAGAATTATCAAGATTTTGACACACTGGTGAAGTGTGTGAAAAACTCAACCCTGAGCAATGCATGTGACTTCATCCTCCATAAGAAAGGCGTCTTTAAGCGGGCATCACCAAAAAAGCCTTTTATTTCAGTAGTTCAGCTCATTCTTCTTGCGTCATTCCATTGTTATTACACATAATTAAGGCCAGACAGAATCTGCGGACATTTTTTGCTATTTCTGCTGAGAATTTGATAGAAAATCTGCAGATTTATGTGAAATGTTTTTGCGAGTTTCATAACTAAAACCTAATATATGAAATAAAAAATATTACATTTTTATTTTTAATTAATGTTTAATGCAAATCCAATTAGATACACTTATTTGGTAAACAAAGCAAGTCTCTCTTATAATATGTCTACTAAAAGATATTACTAAAATATTACTTTACAAACTGTAATGTAAATAAATCATACAAATATTTTAATATTGTTATATCAAAACAATACTAGTGAAATTAATTTAAAAACTGAATAAATCTAAATTTACACACATTTACACAAGTAAATAAATTGACTCAATGATGGGCTAAAAATCTGCGGAAACCTGTGGATTTCTGCGCGCACCGATTCTGTGTGGACCTACACATAACTCATTTTTCAGATTTATTTTGTTTTGTTTTATTTTTATGTTTGTATTGTTTGTGTTTTTACAAGAATCTGGTTCCATTCCATGTCAACAGTTCCTTTTATAAATATTATTCCCAGAAAAAACATGACGTGTTCAATACTTATTTTCCTAGCTGTAAAAGTGAAATGATTTGTATTGAAAGAATGAATATTTACAATAAATAAAAGATTAACCTAAAGGAGAGGAGGAAGTTAGAGGTGCTTAAATCAATATATAATAATGATAATGAATTATTACAAAACTTACCAGCTGTAATAAACTAAACTAAACTAAAAATCAAAAAAAAAAAAAAAAAACCTTCATCATACCAAAACCTCTTAAGCTACTTTTACTGAAAACAAAACAATCTGTATACAATCTTACTTTCCATCGAGTGCTGATATGAATCCGCTTTTTTGCCAGGAGTTGGATCAGCAGAAGTACATTTACACCAAAGGCTGCGTGGGACAGTTTGAAAAGTGGCTTCAGGACAATCTGATTGTTGTTGCTGGGGTGTTTGTGGGGATTGCATTATTACAGGTAAGGACAACACTTATGGAAATGCATTGAGTGCATGCAAATGTTCTTTGGCTGAAGTGATTTGCCTAAACGAGGTCTCGTATTGAATGTCAGGTCATGCTGCCACCTTCTGGTTAAACTTTATAATTCAGCTATAAGTGTGGACTATCTCAAAATGTCCAGGTAAAAGAAAAAAAATAAAACAAATGTTAGTATATTTCAAATTGATCTTATATAAAATAATGGAGACAAGATTTTGGTGTCTTTATCAAATTAAATTTACAAGTGATTTTTTTTTATATATATATATACAGTTTTATATAAATATACACAATTATTCGCCCTCCTGTGAAATTTGTATATTTTTTCAAATATTTCTCAAGTGCTGTTTAATGGAGCAAGGACATTTGTCATATTATTTTGTATTATATTTCTCTTCTTGAGAAAGTCTTATGTCTTTTAAATTGTCTGGAAATAAAAATATTATTAGCCCTGCCAAGATTTTTTCGATTGGCAACAGAACAAACCACTGTTTTTTTTTATAAATTTTTTTATAAATTGGTAAAATTTTGGTATTTGTGATGCAGCAAGCCCAGAGATTGTTGTGTACACCATGATTTAAATAAAATTCACTTTAATGTGTGATATGAATAAAACGTGATCATAAATGAATATTTTCTCAATTCAAATGAGTGGCAGCTGTGTGAGTGGCAAACTGTATTCCAGATGTCACGACTTAAAGGTGCAGTAGGTGATCTGCTAAAATGCTAACCGATTAGCATATTATCTTTGGACGGCGGGGAGGGACTGTGATTCAAAGCCACACCCCCTGAAATCGTGAGCGCGCGCACCGCATCACAACAGCAGACAGACCACCCACTAGTTCATGGCATTCGCCAGTTAGTTAGTGTATAGCTAGCGCCGTGCAGGAATTACATTTATTACTTAGCCACACTTACATGCTATTTCAGAGCGAATATTCAGAGCAGCATGGTAAACAGTATAGGAAGGCTGCCATTGTTTAAAAATGACCCAAAAGTTATTGAGCAGTTTATAACTGCAGCTACAAATGCTCTATTCTTGATTTATAACCACATGTATAATGTGCTTAATAATTGTACTTTCATAATTTGCGACTGGTTGATTTTTCATTACTTAATTAAGTATTGCATTATTTACAAACCATTTGTGTTTAAGAGTAGTTGGATGCTTTTTAAGATCATTCAAAATGAGCTAGTAAATGACAATTAAACTATTAAAATTAACATTTATATATCTTATTATTATTGAGGCATATATTCATGGTTACTATGTATGTTAATAAATGCTTTATTAACTCAACTTTATGCAGTTTTGTGACCTAATCTAAAGTGAGGTCTATTCATGCTTTATAAATCCTTTATAAATGACGATTAAAGGCTTGGTATCTAATGCGCAATAAGCTTTGCCATCGTATCTAAAAAGTAAAATTACTGTAAAGTTTAAACATTGCTGAAAAACAGGAGTGTCAAAATACGACATAAAATCGGATAAAACAAAAACAACAATTTAATAATTTAACAATATAATAGGATGCAATGTTTAAACTCTACAGTCATTTCATTTTGGATAAGGTTGCAAAGATTTATTTTTCATTTGATAAATAAACTTGCGTATCTTCAAATAAATAGAAATGAATATTGTTGTTTATTTTCTTTTTTCCTGTTTAGAATATAACTGAGCCTTTAATTGTCATTTATAAGGGATTTATAAAGCATGAATAGTCCTCACTTTAGATTAAGTCACAAAACTAGATGAAGATGAGTTAAAAAATCATTTATTAACATACAAATTAACTATTATTATATGCCTGAATAATAAGATATATAAACATTAATTTCAATAGTTTATTTATCATTCAGGGTTTGAAATTGTGACCATTTTGGTCGCATATGCGCCCGAAATTTTATCTATGCGACCTTAAAATATATTTGGGAGCATGTGTGCGAGTGCATAAAATTGTTGTGTGCGACCAGTTTTTACTGCAAAATGTTCACCACATGCGCGGGTTCGGGAGAAATTCACGCAGAATGCCTCTCTAAGCTCTTTGTCTGCACATGAAACGTGAAACGCAGCGCTCAGGAATGGTTTAAAACAGTTGTCATGTCAACTTGCTGCAGTAAACAAAACCAAGTCCGTAATGCTTGCCCCACCTTCGCGCTCTTCTTATTGGCCCACCACTGCTCTAGCACTGAAATATCAGCTGTCAATCACTCAGTCAGTGCCTTCTGGCTTGGGATGACAGAGAGAGAGAGCTACTACAGCGAAAAACTGTTAAGCGCTGAAGATAAGAATGAAGATAACACTGACAGATTTTGTTTTAGAAACCATGGCATCTAAAGTTACAAATAATGACACATCTTACTAGTGACCATGTGCTGAATGTTAATCCATCATCTACACTTTTTCAAGAGTGGATAAAACACTTCTGTTGGCTTCAAGTCCACTATGAAAAGTCTGTGGGACGGAATTTTCAGGTAACTGTTCGCCACATCTAGCACGAGAGCTTCTGTTTAATCCTTCATATAATCGCCAGATGCTGTCCGCCGTGCAAGTAGCAGCTATATGTCAAATTTAATACCACGTACACCATCGCAAACGGGCTTACACTGAGTAGACTAACATCGCCACTCATAAAAAGACCGTTATGGCTATTAACATGACGTATGCATATAATAGGGTACAGTATATGTCAAAAGCATCAGTGCAATATCAGACAGCACTTGTGAGAACAGCACAGTTATATCGTTAGCAGATTCATTCATGTCAAGCAGTGCGTGCAGGGCCGGTGAGCACTCCGTGTATGCTTTGGTCACTCAGTTCTGTTATAAAAATCTATTTTCTTGAGATAACGGGATTTCGTTGAGACATATTTTACTCATGCATGCATATATATATATTTTGCTTGTTAGTTTGATTACTGTTGATTTCAAATGCAATAAATCTGTTTGTATAAAACTTGTTGTAAATGTGCTTATAATTGGAGGGTGCGACAAAATTTTGGCGGATGCGCCTACATTTTTAAAGTTAGGAGCACCGGTGCTACCAAGCAAAAAAGGTTAATTTCGAGCCCTGTCATTTACCAACTCATTCTGAATGATCTTAAAAAACCACCAACTATGGTTAAATAACCGGTGTGTAAATAATGCGATACTTAATTTAATAATGAAAAATAAATCATTAACAAAGTATGAAAGTACAGCTATTAAGCACATAATAAAAGAGATTGTAAATCAAGAATACAGCATTTGCAGCTGCAGTTATAAACTGCTTACGTTTATTAATGCAGAGTTGATGCTTAACAAATAATGAATTCACTATTTGCTAATAAATAGTTCATGTAGTTATTATAAAGTGTTACCATTTTATGATATATCTAAAATTGTAGAATCTCACAAATCCAAATTTCCAAATCCATCACCAGTGTGCAGCATCCACTTGGATGATGCGACAGCAGCCACAGGACAACGGCACCCGTGCGCTCACCACACGCCAGCTATAGGTGGAGCGGAAAGTCAGTGATAGAGCCAATTCAGGATGGGGATGATTGAGAAGTCATGATGAGTAAGGGTCGATGGAGGGAATTTGGCCAGAACATCTAGGTTACTTACCTACTCTTTACCAGAAGTGCCATGGAATTTTTAACGACCACAGTGAGTCAAGATATTGGTTTCCTATTCAAAAGACGGCGCTCACTGACAGTATAGTGTCCCTTTCATTTTACTGGGGCATTAGGACTCACACAGAACGCAGGTTGAGCGCCCCCTGCTGGCTTCACTAACACCATTTCAGCAACCTAGTTTTCCCATGTGGTCTCCCATCCAGGTACTAACCAGGCTCAGCCCTGCTTAGCTACAGTGAGTAACTGGTCTTATTTAAGACTCGAGTAATGTAATAGTGTGAAATATGTGTATAATTGTCAGACAAATCTTTTTTAGAAGTCCTTTAAAAAGATCACAAAGTGTAATGTGTGTATTTATATAGCACATTTATCGTGTATGGCCATACACCCAAAGTGCTTCACAATCATGAGGGGGGGTGTCTCCACACCACCACTAGTGTGCAGCATCCACTTGGATGATGCGACAGCAGCCACAGGACAATGGCACCAGTGCGCTCACCACACACCAGCTATTGGTGGAGCGGAAAGTCAGTGATAGAGCCAATTCAGGATGGGGATGATTGAGAAGTCATGATGAGTAAGGGTCGATGGAGGGAATTTGGCTACAACACCTAGGTTACTTACCTACTCTTACTTACTTGCAAGAAGTACAATGGAATTTTTAACGACCACAGTGAGTCAAGATATTGGTTTCTTATCCAAAAGTAGGATGCTCACAGACAGTATAGGACATTAGGGCATTAGGACTCACACAGAACGCAGGTTGAGCGCTCCCTGCTGGCCTCACTAACACCACTTCAGCAATCTAGTTTTCCCATGTGGTCTCCCATCCAGGTACTGACCAGGCTCAGCCCTGCTTAGCTTCAGTGAGAAACTGGTCTTGGGCTGCAGGGTGATATGGCTGTTGCCAAAGTGGGATGTTTCCCCATGCATGCTTATGTTAATTTATTACAAATATATATACAGTCAAGCCAAAGTTATTCATAGCCCTGGGGTCCGTTCTTCGTACCTCGCTTAAATGATCTAAGATGATTTGGCAGATCCTGGATCTTTTAATCGTGATAACTGATCTCTCGCTAATTTGGTTCTTCAAACAAGTTTGCGAATCAGATTAGAATGTCAAGATGAACTGATCTGAGATCACTACGTGTGTTGTGAAGGACAGATCTATCGATCCTCGAAATCATGATCAGCAATGCAACGATTGGCTGACAGCACAGCAGCGTAATGACATCATCTGATTAATATTCAATTATCCATGTGAGCAAAATTACATCAAATTAGCAGTAAACGGTTTGTTAAATATGACACGCAATAACCTTCCACATGTGTTGTGAACTGCAGGCTTTACACTTTCATGTGTCAAGAGTATTCATCATGTATTTCAATGCAAATCAATGTACTTAGTTCTACATTTAGAAAATATTGTCTATATTATAGTAGCCGTTTTTTAATCGGTGTAAAGAATAACTGGTTGTTTACAAAAGCATTTTGATATTGGTAAAGGCGTCTGCAACTATTGTGAAGCATCAAATCACTGGCATATTAACTATCAAAACATGTTTATGACTGCATAAATGTATTATTGCTTTAAAAAAAGTCACATATTCTGCATTTCTATTATACACAATTTGTACTAAAGCGATCTAAAACGTTCATATCAATAAGTTGTCTCTTTGCACCACCAGGTGGCAGTCTTTGTACTTTCATTTCGAGGGTGCAGATTGCATAAGTTTTATTAATATGTATAACTTTATTTATTTTATTAATAACTATAACTTTATATATATATATATATATATATATATATATATATATATATATATATATATAAAAAAAGAACTATTTACCCAAGTGTATATAACTACTACTGTAAGAAAACATCAGAATTCGGAACATACTTTCAGTATTATCTTTGCTTGAACTGAGCCGATCTAATCCTGTTTATATGAATTGAACCTGCTCCCAATCAGGTTTGACCTAGCAGAACTGTTGCAATGACAACAACTCTCGGATCAGCTTTGAAGAACGAAACATCCTGGATCGTGTCAAATCGTCAATATCCAAAGCCAGCTAACTGAGTAATCCACGTACGAAGAACGGACCCCTGGCCAATTCTGACTTTTTTTTCCCCACAGTGATGCCTTTCATATATCTTTTGGGAGAAGCCGGTGTCATTTCAGGTCACAAAAAAACTTGCTGGTTGAACGAAAGTAACATTCAGTCAGGATTTATATATTTATATATAAATATTTATATATTTATATATATATATATAATATATTTATATATTTATATATATTTATATATTTATATCAGGGGTATATATAATTTAGATATGATTAAATTATATATGTGTATATATGATTGCAATATCTCTTGCCTATTTGAGTAATATATCAAGATATTTCTCTATTTCAGATCCACAAATGAGAGTGTTTTCACAAGAACAGTTATGTTTCTGAAGCTGTCATAAGCTTTTTCTCTTTACGTTTCAGATCTTTGGCATCTGTCTGGCTCAGAATTTGGTGAGTGACATCAGAGCGGTCAAAGCCAACTGGTGACCCTTTACAGACCAGAGAAATAACAGTTTACACACCACTGAGCTGCAAAGTTCCTCTCTATTAACCCTACAGACGCTGTGTGTTAACTCTACAAAAACCCGCTGTCCATCAATATGTCCGTCTTATATATTTTTTATGTGAAACCAAGCTCTTATAGAGGCTGGAGATAGCTGGAGTGATCTGTGATCGAACATGATTCCCGTTTTCATCAACCTGTGGACGACGTGCTTATAGAGAAACACACAAATCAACCACTGAGACTTGAAGCGGAGCAGCCATGAACCTAAAACAAAGCCTTACAGCAGTGTGTGTGTGTGTTTCTCTGTATGCTTCAGCTTTTTATAGTGACTCTAGCTTCTGATTGGCTCTCTGTTGCGCAGGGCGTCCAATCAGAACGACGTACTTGATAATAATGACATGTAATGCATTTATTTTGTGTGCGTTCGGTTCTACCACTACTGTTGCCGAGCGTGTTGTTTGTCTGTATAGATTTTTTTGGTCGAGAGCGTAAAAAAAATCCACTATTTCCGCTTCTGAATCTTTTCCGTCTTCGCTAATCTGCTAGATAGATAGCTGTAGTGACACTAATGATGTATTATTATAATCATGATGCTGCTTTGAGTCATAGATGATAATATACATCGCTATACTAACCAACTGTACTTTTGTTTGCGTATGATCATGCCTTATTGAGCCCTACAGAGATGGTAGCAGAAGCCGTTTCACAGCACATGAAGCTTTTATTTTGTTCCCCGGTCTGCGTCATTTGCATGCGATCATCTGTAAAGAATGACATGCACGGCAATGCAGGCCTATTTAAACACACGCACATATTTAGATGCATATGTGTGTGTTCTTAACAGTGCATTTCACATGCATTGAGTCATGAGCTACCACTGATAATGTGCAAAGATTAAGGATGTCCTGTGTATTTAATCATTTGTACTCTGATTTTGAGGCTCTTTATAACCTGTGTTAGCATCAGAGCGAATGCTGAAATGTGGGATTTCTCTCCTGTGGTGTTTTCTGGAGGAGTTCGCTGACTCCTGCTGGTGTAAATAGGTAAAGCGGATGAGATTATATGCTGAAGAAGATGTTTAGACCACTTTTTGTGTGCAACCAAATGGGTGACTTCTCATAAAATGCAGCAGGGTTGCATTTCATTGAGAAAAAATTATTAAAAGTATAGCTAGTTAGTGAAAGTGAAGCACGTTTAGCCTCAAATTCTGATTACCATAAAGAAAAAATTGCATATATAGAAATTATGAAGCGATCACTTGGGAATTGTGAGGTTTTCAGGATTTACTGAGTGTGTTTGATTAAATTATTTAGTTTTTTATTCTGTAAAGGTCAGATTAATGTTTCTTTCAAAGTTTAAATAAGGAATAATTGGTTTAAATCTTATAAAAATTAAACAAGATATAAGTAAACAAGTAAATAAACGAGGTGAAATTCAGAGTTGTTAAATTATGTTGTCATGAATTGAATATAAACATCTGAAATGATGCTCCAAATGACAAGGGTTGAATTTGCAAAAAATATGCAATATTTCTATAATAAGAATTATATATATATATATATATATATATATATATATATATATATATATATATATATATATATATATATATATATATATATATATATATATATATATATATATATATATATATATATATATATATATATATATAGATATTGATAGAAATATAAATCGGAATATTGAAGGAAATACACATTAGCACATAATTGTTATGCATAAGTCCTGAGAAACTGGATTAATTTGAATGTTTTGTTTTCTCCTATCTGTATATATTTATATATTTAAACTAGTAATAAAGTGCACTGCCTCTAATTCACTATAAAAATAACTAAATCACTGTAGTGCAAATATGTATTA